ACTGTATGCTTTTGGGTGGTGTGTCGAGTGTTTGGACTAAACGTGTGTGTATTTTTCTATTTTTGTGTTGTTTTCTACCCAATTTTATTCAACAATTGTGTTATTATTTTTTTTTGGTTTTTGGTCAAAATTTGAAAATTTGGATTTGGTTTTTGGTGGGCCGAAATGTTATTTTATTGAGGCCCAATTAGTGGTCTGTTAGTCCCTCAATATTAACGTATTATGTTAATCGTAATCCCTAAATCCAACTCCGGCGGTGAATTTGAAACTCATCTTCTCCAAAATTTTATGTTTCGGAGGGTTTCCCCATCTTTTACTCGTTGGTGAACTTCCTCTTCTTTTCAGTGGTCCAGTCCTCCTTTCTTTTTCTTTGGTAATTTTAAATAAATTAAACAATAAAGATGTTTTTTCTCTTACTGCCTGTTGCAGGAATCTAATTCTGAGATTTTGAAATTGTAACCATCACTTCTAATTCTTGTGATTACAGAAAATCTAATTACGTTTTGGTTTTCAAGAGTTCTGATAAATATGTTGTATTGTTACCAGCTCTAACTTCGTAAATACTCTTTTCTGGTACATGCTTCCCCGTATCCGTTTGTCCCTGTAAATTTTGGTTTTTTCAATTGAATCGTGATTAATTGTAACGGTCCATGTTGATATTCATGGTAATGTGTAAATTTTTTTAAGTATTTAGAATATGTTAAATTGGTTATGTAGGACTCTGTCTAATTTTTTCCCCGCGGATTGCATAGATTGCTTATCCTGCCATCATCTTCTTCTGCAAAATTGCCAATAGTTAAAAGACTGTTTCCAATGTTGGATTGGGGCCATTTTGTTTTTATTTTTCTGTGTTATTTGAACGGAAAACATTTCATGTATCGTTGTGTTGTTGTGATTCATGTTTTGGTCAATGTGATATCCTATTTTCTATTAGTAATTGGTTGAGGTGGATATGTATAACTTTAGTCTAATCTATTAAATGAAATTGAATCCCTACCTGGAATAAGGGGTAGACCACAGAATGCTTCTCTGTAGACAATGTTTGAGACAGAGTCATTGCCCTTTTTGTTTTTTGATGTGTCGAGCACTTTGATC